TGACTGGGGGCATAAATTGCACCTGGTCAGCCCTGGCTCAAATTGCTGCTGTCCCAGCTGCATGTGTAGACGCTGCACCTGGAAGCAGCTGACTCTGGCTTAAACTGCTCTGGAGCTTATTGCTTCACATTAATTGCACATGTAGATGCAACCACTGAGTAAGGAAAGACTATGCGTAGACTGCCAGAGGTGAGCATGAAGACTTGCTTTAGTTTATTAAACTGCTCTGTGTCACAAACCAAAACCCAGCTCAACGGTCCCCTGCTCAGAATTAAACAAACATTTGTTGTTAATTATTTTTTGTTTTAAATTAAATACCAGTTTAACTTTAATGTGGTTTTAAAAAAGCTGTGATGTGTTAGTAAAAGATCCCCTTGGATTCACATGTCCTGCCACTTAAGCCAACTTTCCTCCATATTCTTTGTAACTTTAGCTCTATATGTAGGTGGAGACCGGAACTGCTGTTTAGTGAGAAGTGAAGCCAACAAAAAAGTCAGCAAAAACGTAAATAGAAGCAATTGTTTTTTCATATTTGGCAGTGTGTTTAATAACTGAAATTAACTCCAGATCACAAAAAGAAAAAGAAAAAAAATCAGTTGCTAGGCAAGAGGATCTTTATTAAGTACAATTTATATGATATTGTATCTGGTTCCTATATGCATTGTTCTGAATGTTAATTACCTAATTAGAGCAACTTCTAGCCTTTGTATTTTATTCCTTTTTGATCAGTAACACCTCAGTGTTGTTCTCCTACTGCATCAATTTTGGGGGGGTAATTTTTCTTCTGTGACTAATGTCTCCCAGTAAGCACATTAAATAGTGTAAGCTAGTGAATAACATTTTAATAATTGGGCAGGTAACGGAAAAGAACTGAACACAGTTCCTGATTCATGCTTAGGTCTGTGCTGACTGATGAGGGGGCTTGAAGGATAGCTAGAGAATGCACTGATTCAGCCACTGCATCTCCCAGTGCAATTTCTTTCTATCTAGCTTTCTATGAACACATCCATCACTTTCCTTCTTCCCTCCACAAGGCTTCTTCCACCCAACAGAAGCCCCCGTAGGAGGCAGGTAGCAGTATTATCTGTTGTTCCTCAGAACAATTCTCTTGGTGCTAAATGTGTGCATTCATTTGAGTATAGTACCTTTAAAACCCCAGAGCCTGCTGAGGTAGGGTTACCATACATCTGGGCTTTCCTGGACATGTTCTCTTTTTGGGTCCTCCCATCTTTGTATGGACAGTTTTTTAAAATATCAAATAATGTCTGGGATTCTGCTCTGCTCAGCATTGAAGTTTTTCCTGCCCCTTCCTGGTTTGTCCTAGCAAGTTGCTGCTTG